GGCGCCCGCGGGGACAGGGGACCGCTTTTATTAAAGGGAAGGAGGGTGCGCACGGCGAGGCATGGGTTTCCTTTAGGAAATGGGCCATTTGGCAAACTTTCTCTTTCTTATTGTTAATTTTTGATATTTAKAATGGAAAATAGGACTTAAAAAATTTTTTTTAGTTTTTTTTTTTTCCTTCAATGTAAAGGGAAATAATAAAAAGATTTCCGCCATTTTGGCCTCTAAAAAAGTAACCTACGGATCAGTGACCGYCCGGCCCGCTGCTGGCTTGGTCGGGGAGGCAGGTGGCGGGTCTGGATGCTGGAACCCAGGACCGTGCAGAGAGGTACCGTCCCGCGTCCGCCCCGGACGCTTCGCCCAGGGAGTGGGGCGGGGGCCCCAAGTTTGCAAGCACTTTGTTGCGTGCGCGGTTTCTGTCTCTGACACTTAGCTTACCACTCCCAGTACCAACCAGGGCTTTTATTGGGCGTCTGTGGTTTACAAGGCTTTGATGGGCAAGAAATGGGGAAACCCTGGCAGGCACCAAGAGACAACATGGACACATTTATTCAATAATTGTTTATTGAGCATCTGCTATGTGCACTGCTCTGGTCTGGGGATTTATTAGTCCTTTTAACAGGTCCCTGTAAACASATTGAGAGTTGAGGGTTTGTTGTTGTTTTGTAACAGAGATTGAACCCTGGGGCAGTCAACCACTGAGCCACATCCCCAGCCCTTTTGTTATATTAACAAGGTGTCTCTAAGTTGCTTAGGGCCTCGCTAAATTGCTGAATTGCGATCCTCCTGTCTCAGCCTCCCAAGCCATTGGGAAAGTTGAGGTTTGAGTGTCAGTTTAGTGCCCTTGTGAAGACAGCAGGGTTGGACAGTGAAAAGTGAAATGCTTAAGTAGTCTCAACAGGGGTCTCAATCTGTCCCAAGGGAAACTCTGCAACTGAGATGGCCCTGCAGATGCCCCAAATTAAGGCCTTTATACTCCATATCAACGAACCATCTGGAGAAAGCCCTGGGGTGATGCAGCTGCCTTGGTGAAGGGCAATTCCAAGAGAACTTACAGCTGATGGTAGAAAACTTTCTCTATTACCCTCCAGAAGCCCAGATTCTTCTAGATTCCCCTCTCACCTGGTTTCAGGCCCTTCTGAGTCTTTCCCTGGATCCTCTTCCTCTTCTCAACTCCAAGACACCAAGTCTCCTGCTCTTCTCTACTCTCCTGTTCTATTTTTTTTTTAATTTTTAAAATTCTTAATTTTGGGTATTGGGGATTGACCCCAAGGGTGCTCTACCAATGAGCTACATCCTTAACCCTTCATATTTTAAATTTTGAAATGGTCTCGCTAAGTGGCCCGGTACATCACTAAATTGCTAAGGCTAGCCTTGAACTTGTGATCTTCCTGCTTCAACCTCCTGAGTCATTCTCTTTTAAATGCCATGTATACATGATGACTTTCAAATATATATATATATATATCTCCATCCCCAAGAGTATCTGTTACTTCTTGAGTATAAACTACACAAGAACCTTTTGTCTTGTTTGCAGCCATATCCCAAGAGCACAGAGTGGGGCGGATGCCTCCTTGGTTCTCCAGTGTTTGCCATAAAGGGCACCAAACCCAAACAGAAAGGCAATCTGTCAGCCACTCCTTGATAGACCTGWTATGTGACGGGTTTTAAAACAGAGGGGAGTTTATTAAGAAGTAACCATATTTGTCAGGTACAGTGGCTCATGCCTGTAATCCCAGTGACTTGTGAGGCTGAAACCGGGGATCACAAGTTTGAAACCAGCCTCAGAAATTTAGTGAGGCCCTAAGCAACTTAGCAAGACCTTGTCTCAAAACAATAAATAAATAAATAAATAAATAAAAGATCTGGAGACGGCTAGGGACGCTGAGGCAGGAGGATCATGAGTTCAAAGCCAGCCTCAGCAAAAACAAGGCACTAAGCAACTCAATGTGACCCTGTCTATAAATAAAATACAAAATAGGGCTGGGGATGTGGCTCAGTGGTTGGTTGAGTGCCTCTGAGTTCAATCCCAATACTAAAAAAAAAAAAAAAAAAAAAAAAAAAAGTAACCATATTCAATTTTAATGATTGCCAATATTTTGAATAAAAAAGTTAAATTCTATTTAAAATAATTAAAAATTGTACAAATACTTCAACTGTGCAAAGCGAAATAATTGGGATTGAAATTTAGGGGCTTCTGTTATAATTTTTTTTTAAATATTTATTTATTTATTTATTTTAAATCTTTGGTGGACACAACATCTTTGTTKGTATGTGGTGCTGAGGATCGAACCCRGGCCGCACGTATGCCACRTGAGCGCRCTACCGCTTGAGCCACATCCCCAGCCCTGTTATAATTTTTTTAAATGGGAAACTGATCTTGATTGATTTGGGTGTTGTCTTAATTGGGTTGTATAGCTCACCTTTGCCTACCTGAGTATTTGTCTAGTTTAAACCTCTATTGTCATATGTCTCCATAATGTAAAGTATGGATTCTGTAGAAAATAAATGAGTGCACAAGAACAGAAAGAGGTTGAGAGCGAGGGCAAGAGAGACAGCAACCACTACAAGCTACCAGCCAGAAGTTACCAAGCTTCCTGGAATTTCTGTTTAAAGGGAATTGATTAATATTTGTTGAAGGCCTGCTGGTATCAATACTTCAGTTTAATTTTTTTTTATGTCCAAGCTTCACCAAAACCCTTTGAGGTAGGTATTATTACCACTTTCATTTTACACATGAGGAAACTGAGTCTCAGAGGGAGTAAGCTACTTATTCGGAGTCACGGGTATTAATTGAGGGAGCTGAAATTCAAAATCTGCCTTAGGCCTATGTCTGTGATTTTTCTATTAACATTCACCCGGAGCCATTGCTAAGTACTGCAAACAAACAGCCAAGAATCCAACACTCTACAGGGTGTGTGTGTGTGTGTGGAGGGGGTTCCTTTTTTTCTTCTTTTCTTTCTGGCATTGGGGATTGAACTCGGGGCCTTGTGCGTGTTAAGAACACAGTCTACTACTGAGCTGCACCCGCCAACCTATCTGCCTTTTTTTTTTTTTTTATTAATAAGTTCAAATTACTGAAATCCCACACAAATACTTGTGTGTTTGTGGGGTGCTGCTGGGGATTGACACAAATACTTTTTGTTTTGCTTTTGTTTTGTGCTGCTGAGGGTTGAACCAAGAGCCTCATGCGTGCAATGCAAATGCTCCACCAATGAACTACATCCCTAGCCCTCAACACAAATACTTTTTGAGCACCTAGTGTGTGTCAGGAGCTATTCTAACTATTCAGGATATAGCAGTGAACAAGAAAGATGAAGACTTTGCCTTTGCCTTTACGTGTTGGTGACAGATCAAACACAGAAATAAATAAATCAGAATCACAATTGATTGTAACAAACAAACAAAAGTGGAAGAAACACAATAACCAGACAGTGGCAGGGTCGGGTGGGAGGTGTGCTGCTTTAAACTCATGGTCAGGAAAGACCTCCTTGTAGGAGGTGACTGCTGAGCGGAGGTCTGCAAGGTGGGAACAAGCCAGTCAATCAGAGGGCTTGGGGAAGAGCCTTCCAGGTGGGAGGCAGAGCAGTGGCAAAGGCTCTGAGGTGGGAACATTGGACAAGCAGTAGACAGAAACCAAAGTCTGTCAAGGACAAAGAATATATTGGGAAAGAGTGGTGGAGGATGAGGTCAGAGGAGAAGCTGGAGGTCAGATTCTACAGGGTAAAGCACTCTTATTTTATTCTAAAGACTTTCCGGAGAGCCATTGAAGAATTTTACATAGGGAAATTATGTGATTTGATTTATATTTTCATAGCTTATTGGAAAATCTCTCTTTTTTGGTAGCACTGGGGATTGAACCCAGGGCCTCATGCATACTAGGTATACACTTTACCTCTGAGCTACACCCCCTGCCGTCTTACTGGAGAACAGACGGTAGTGGGGGCAGGAAAGGAAGCAGGGAGTGAGTTAGGAGGCAGTTTCAGAAGTGCAGGGAAAGCTGGTGGTGGTTGGGACTAGCACGGTGATAAAGGATTAGAAGTGACCAGACACTGAAATGTGTTTCAGAGGAAGCACCAACAGGCCAATTACGCATAAAGCCATGTTGTCTAGTACATTAGTCATGGCCACTCTTGCTATTTAAATTTAATTAAAAGTCAGTTAAAAAAATTCAGTTTCTCAGTCTCACAAGCTTAGTTTCACATGTGGTTAATGACTATAGTATTGGATGGCATACATACAGAAAATTTTTATCATCACAGAAAATTATATTGGACAGTGGTGGTAAGACATCTGAGACAGTGGCCAACACATTTTAGGAGTTGAATAAATGCTAGATATTAAATATATTATGTTATTATGTCTTTTTTTCATGTTCAACTTTTTATTAAATGCCTCTACTGTCTGTGCTTTGTTAAAGCTGAATATCATGCTGACTGGGTTTTCATATACCACCCCTTTGTTCTTCTGACACATGCATTGGTTTAACAGATGATTCAGTGCCCACTCTGTACTTGGGTACAGACAGTGGTAGGTAGGGGGCATAAAATGACAAAAGATCCCTTCTCCCAGGAAGATGAACCTGGTTAGGTGGAGAACCTAATATATGTGGGCTCTGGATCCCCAGAAGGAGAAGGGTATGCTTCTAGTGGAGGTGGGGTCAGAAAAAAGGAGAGTTTGGGCTTGGCTTGGGCTGTCATGAGATTTCTGGCCAAATGGAATCTTGATTTGAGTCATACTTCCTGAAGTCAGTTCTGTACACAGTTTGCATAGCACCCACACATATGCCAGTGTGCCCATCTTCAGAAGAATAGGGAAGTTCAGGGCCTGGCCAGAGTGACCTGAGTAGACCCAGAAGCCAGACCTGATGCTGGGCCTCTAATACATTTACTTTTTCCAGGGCTAAGGCTGACTTGACTTGCCTTCTCATTTCCCTTGCTTTCTCAGAAAGGTCCCCTCTTGATTACRCTGGGGACTGTTTGGCTTGTAGACCTGTCCGGATGGAAGGGCATACTGAAATGGAGGTGCTGAGGACACTGAAAGGGCCTTCCACAGGGGAGGTCAGCGTGCATCTGGTGGCCAGAGAGAGCTCAGGTTCCGGTCCTCACCTCCCCGCAACTGCCTTCATCATTCCAGGTAGGTCAAGCTCAGGTCTGGGGAGAAGGAGTATGGCCGTATTTGCTGAAGCAGGTGTGGATCCCAGGGAGATCCTAACTTTTCACTTTCCTATACCTGCCTTCTTTCACTTGCAAGTAGTAGAATTGAAGAAGGGCCATCAGGCCCACCTGTGTATCTGTGTATCCATTCACAGCCAGCTCCGCCACCCTTGGCCTGCCCAGCAGTGCCTTGGATGTGTCCTGCTTCCCCCGGGAGTCCATCCATGTAGGCGCCCTGGAGCGGGTGGTCGGCAGTGAACCAATCACAGCCACTGTTCTGCCACAGCTAAGCGCCGGGGCAGCAGCGAATTCTAGTACCAGCACCGTCCAGCTGCTGGAGTGGACAGAAGCCGTGGCTTCGCCCCCTGGGAGTGGCCTGCGGGTCAGTGCCTGTGGGGATTGGCTAGCCTGTGGAACCGCGGCCGTGGGGCGGGGCCTGTTGACCTGGAGGTGGGGCTTCAGATGGAAAGTGGGAGGGGGGCTGAGATGATAGATTCTGCGGGGTGGGGCTTTCAGCGCGTGCCTTGGGTTGAGACTGGCCTTAGAGGCCCTGGGGGCGTGGCTTGGAGTGAGATACCCTGGGACTGGTCCTGCAGGTGTTGGGGGCGTGGCCTAGTRGGGGCAGGGGGCGGAGCCTTGAGGCCTAGTGGGGCCCTATCCAGCATGAGGCCTGAGAAGGGTGAGCACAAACCTCCACCCCAAAGTGGGTCGAGGACTTGGTGCAGGCTTGGCTGTCCTCACACTTTCCCGTGCTCCAGTTTCGGATAAGCGAGTATGCGCCGCTAAACATGGTGGGAGTGGAGCAACCACGGAGTCCAGAGCTGCGGCAGGAAGGCGTGGCTGAACAGGAGGACAGCGGGGGCCCGGAGGGAGGTGGCGATGCGGGCACCCAACAGCCCGGTAGGAGCCCGCTCCCCGGGCCCTGAGCTGGGGCACTGCGCGGTGTGGGGTGAGGCCTGAGCTCCTGAGGAGCATCCGCTGGGGGCGTGGCCCCGCGGTCCCTGCAGGTGTGCCCAGGGGTGGCTCCTGAGTGGAGAAGGCTGGGAGGCTGTCCAGTGTGGAAGTGGGGCCAGGGAGGCAGGGCCTAAGGGCCGTGGGTGGAGCCTGAGCATGACTGAAAGGGTGGGAGGCCTAAGGCCCAGTTGGCCCCACAGGGGACCTCCCSGAGGACTCTCCAGAAGAGCTCTCTCAGGATCCCCCAGAGGACGATAGCGCCTGTCGGTGCCAGGCCTGTGGGCCTTCTCAAGGCACMGGTCCAGAGTTTCTTTGCTCGAATGCCGGCCCCTCTCAGCTGTTCCAGGAGCGGTAAGGGAGAGGGGGTCGCAGCTTTCTTGCTCTGTCTTCCGCTCCCAAAGCCCCATTTCTTTTCAAGTGTAGGAGGGGGATGGGTGGTGCAGGGCTGATGGTTCTRTGGCTGAGGCTGCTCTTCCCTTTAGGTCTGTCATCGTGGAGAATTCCTCAAGTAGTGCCAGTGCTTCAGAGCTCCTCAAACCCATGAAGAAACGAAAGCGCAGGGAATATCAGAGCCTATCAGAGGAGTCTGAGCCAGAGGCCATGGTAGGAAGAGGGCAGGAGGGAGGGGAGAGGGAGGCTAGAGCACATGCCTCATTCCTGTTATCTTCTCTTCCATCCAAGACATAAGCCTAGACCAGAGACGATTTGTMATATTTTGGGACCCATCTTGAATACCTTGTCGAAGGGTAATAAATAATCTATTTCCTGGAGTGCCCATCTCCTTCTATTGTTAGGATTGAGACACATTCTTGTGAACTGGTACCCAAGGTAGATGTATAGGAGATGGGAAACTCCATCATTGGAGGCCATGAGCCAGGCCCAAATCAGGAAACAAGGCTGTAGCTGCATTAGTGGAAAGAGACAGAGCATGGAAATTCTACTGAGCAGGTAAAATCAGCATGGGGCACATGATCATGTATTCAGTTTCCCCACCCAAGAATGAGAACTCTAGTCAGGCTGTGCAGCAAGGGTGTATGTGTCCCCATGATTCTGTACCCAAGTGGCAGCAGTTTGTCTGCTGACTCTTTGTTCCTGTTGGCGGCCTAGAATGAATTCTGCCTTTTTGGAGCAGAACACATGTGGCCACAGAACCAGACAGGGGCCAGGATCAGAGACTGGTGCCTTCAACTCATGAGGACAGGAAGCTGGAATCAGGCTTTCCTTCTACAGGAGAAGCAAGAAAGAAAGGATCCAGAGGGTCCACCCGCTACCAGAACTGCAGAGAGTGAGGATTGGAGCAGCAGCCAGCCTGGTATGGTGGCCTGGGTATATATATTTGTGTGAGGTGTGTATATGCCTGTGGAGGTGTGAGGCTGGGAGTATGGGTCATGGTTGTGGTGGTATGTTTTACATAACCAGATGAGCATGGGTTAGTGTATGTGAAAGAAAAGATTGTTTTTGGCTGATGTAGTAGTATATGTGTGTTCTTAGGGGTTAGGTGTTTATCCTTTATTATTCAACTGTGACTAGGCCTCACAGCCAGGGATGTCTTAGCTCAGTATCTGAAGACTTGAGCATCCTCTATTGGCACCAGATGGCATTGCTGGCCATTGATCTGACATGCCTTTTTCTGGTCCTTTGATTCTAAGAAAAATGGAGCAGAGATTCATTCATAGTTGGCTCCAGCCCTGAGGCTTTCTCTGTTACACTCTTTAATATTCCCAGGTGACAACTGTCAACTGAAGCTAAGTTCCATTTATCACACTTGTAATCACCTAGATTCTGTATAGCAATTTGTTTAATGTTTATCTTCCTCTGTCCATCAACAGGGACTGAAATCGTTTTATTGATCATTGTATCTTGTTTGCTTACCCTAGAACCTGGTATAGAGTAGATTCTCAGTGAATAATTTGTTCAATAGATGAATAGATTATTTTCGTGGTTCTTTATGGACTGTAGTTCAGTTGCATGACTCACTGACCACACATATCTGTTTGAAGTGTGCATTTTTTTTGTATCTTCACAGAGTTGTGTAATAATCAGCTCATCAATTTTAAAACATTTTCAGTACCCCCAAAAGAAACTCTATACCCTCTCAAGTCCCCTTTAGCTCTTGCCAACTACCAGTATGCTTTCTGTATAAATATATTTGCCTATTTCATATAAAAGGAATTATATATGTGGTTCTTTGTGACTATTGTTTAATTCACTTCAGCACAGTGTTTCCAAGTTTAGTCATGTTTTAGTGATGCCGGCCTTGGAAATCAGGATCTGGTCCTCGCTCCCACAGTGTTGAAGATTAAATACTCAAGAAACATTGAGGCAAGCACAGAAAGCAAGTTTTATTTAAGAAAGAGACACAATAGGAGTTGGAGTTGTAGCTCAGTGSTAAATCATTCGTCTAGCATGTGTGAGGCACTGGGTTCAATCCTCAGCACCACATAAAAATAAATAAATCAAGTAAAGGTATTGTGTCCATCTAAAAAAGAAAAAAGAGACAGAACAGAGGTAGCAAACTTTATTGGAGAGAAGTCAGGGTCCAGAGCTGGGTGGCCTCAGGAGGGCGTATGACTTGCCTTTTATAGATCCTCAGAATCCCCAGTCTGGCTCTTTTTTTTTTTTTTTTTTTTTTTTTTTTGGTATCTGGAATTAAACTCAGAGGCACTCAACCACTGAGCCACATCACCAGCCTGATTTTGTATTTTATTTAGAGACAAGATCTCACTGAGTTGCTTAGGGCCTCATTTTTGCTGAGGCTGGCTTTGAATTTGTGATCCTCTTGCCCCAGCCTCCTTACCTGCTGGGATTACAGACATGGGCCACTTGACTGGCCAGAATCCCCAATCTTAATCTCCTCATCTTTTTCTTCTCCATGTATGTGCCTAAGGGCAGGAAGGAGGGGCCTAGGGGGTAGTCATTAGCAACTCCTTGTTTTGAGAAGTATGAAGGGGGGGGGGCCCACCATGTTAGCAACCCATTTCCTTTTCTTTGATGATAAGCCCTTATCTTTCCTACCCAAGCATTACTATCTAGCTGACTACCTATCCTTCACCTCTGTCTCATTAGCACGCATGCATCTGTACTTTATTCCTTTTTATTGTCCAATAACTTTGCATTGTAGGTATGTACCATACTTTATTTGTCAATTAATGGATATATAGGTTGCTTCTGCTTTGGGACTATTGTGAATATATACTTAATATGAACATTTATGTGCAAGTTTTTGCATAAGCATGTTTTCATTTTTTTCTTGGCATATACCTAGGAGTAGAAGAATTGTTTGTTCCTGTGGTAACTCTATATTTAGCCTTTTAAGTAATTGCCAGACTTTTTGTTGTTGTTACTGGGGATTTAACCCMGGGGCACTTCACCTCTGAGTTACATCCCTTTTTATTTTTTATTTTGAGATAGGATCTCACTAAGTTGCTGAGGCTGACCTCAATCTTGTGATCCTCCTGTTGCAGCCTCCCAAATTACTGGGACCAGGTGTGTGGGACCAGGCCCAACCAGACTGTTTTTCAAAATGGCTGCATGTTTTACATTCCCACCAGCAATGTATCAGAGTCCAGTTTATTCATATCCTCACCAGTACTTGATTCCCCCTCCCCCCGCCCTCTCTCTTAAATCTTAGCCACTCTATTGGATATGAAGTGGTATCTCTTTTTTTTTAAAGAGATAGATAGATAGAGAGAACTTTAATATTTATTTTTTAGTTATCGGCAGACACAACATCTTTGTTTGTATGTGATGCTGAGGATCGAACCCGGGCCGCACACATGCCAGGCGAGCGCACTACCGCTTGAGCCACATCCCCAGCCTATGAAGTGGTATCTCATTGTGGTTTTGATTTATATTTTCCTGGTGGCTGATGACATGTTGATCATCTTTTTATGTTCTTATTGGCCATCTATATATTTTCTTTGGAGAAATATCTATTCAGAACCTTGCCAGTTTTTTAATTGGGTATATTATATAGTGATATTCAAGAGTGCCATACAGAATTGGAAAACAAGTCAAGAAGATGAGTGTATAATTCAGTTCAAGACATCAATGAATATGTCACTTTAAGAAACTTTTCTTTTTTTGGTACCGGGGATTGAGCCCAGGGGCACTTTACCACTAAGCTACATCCTTAGCCCCTTTTTATTTTTTATTTTGAGACAGGGTCCTGCTAATATTGCTTAGGATCTCATGAAAATGCTGAGCCTGGCTTTGAACTTTCATTCCKCTTGCCTCAGCCTCTTGAGTCTCTAGGATTATGGGCATGCACTACCATGCCCTGTTTACAGAAACACTTTCTTATCTGAGGTCTTTAATCTAAATTTACTTGCAAAAATCTTGACTTATTTATCTAAGATAGTCAGTCTGTGGCTTTCATTAGAATTTCAAAAGGCTCTTATGATAGTAGCTCTGCCCTCAGGACCTAGTTGCCTCTTACAGGTCCTACCTCAATATTGTCACCATGGCAATCACATTTCAACATGAGTTTTGGAAGCCACAGCATTCTACCCCCCCCCCCCACCACCACTCCTGCCTTCCAACAGAGTGCATTCATTACTTACACCGCAATAGCTGCCAAAATTTTTACCTTTCTTTTTTTTTTTTTTTTTTGGTACTAGGGATTTAACTCAGGGGCACTTGACCAGCCCTATTTTGTATTTTATGTAGAGACAAGTTCTCACTGAGTTGCTTAGCACCTCGTTTTTGCTGAGGCTGGCTTTGAATTCGTGATCTTCCTGCCTTAGCCTCCCAAGCCACTGGAATTACAGGTGTGTGCTACCACACCAGGCCCAAACTTTTAATTAATTTCAGCATCAACTAGAAAATCGAAAGTCTCACCTAAATTAGATGTGAGTGCAAGTCAGGGGATGATTCATCCTAAAGGAAATTTCCCTCCAGCTATGAGCCTGTGCAATCAAAAAAGTTGTCTACTTACAGGATATGATGGTGGTATAGGTGTAAGATAAATGTTCCCATTCCTACAGGGGGAAAGAGTGGGGGGGGGAGTAGTAACTATGCCCATTAATTAACTCTACCCATTAACTATAACCATAATTCCAAATCTAACAGGGAAAACAGCATTCAACATTAAAGCTCTAACTTAATCTTTCATACCATGTGATGCTACCTGGACCTACTGTTAGGTTTAAGCTCCAAAGTCTTGGGCAGCTCTGCTCCGGCTGCTTTTACTCTAGCAGCAGTTGTCACAGGCTGGAATCTTGTGCCTTTGGTTCTCCCAGGCTAGTGTCACACACTGGTGGCTGTACGTTTCTGAGACCTGGGTAGTGGCTCTGCTGCCGCAGCTCCACTGGGTATTGCCCTAGTAGGGCTGTGCAATGGCTCTGCCCCAAGACAAGTTTCTCTCTGGCCCCTCAAACTGACTATGACCTCCTTTAAAATCTGAGTGGAGGAAGCCATGCCCCCACAGCACTTGTATTCTGTGCCTGCAGAATTAGCACCATGTGGATATCACCACGGTTCACAGCTTATGACTTCCAGAGCAGCAATTCAAATTGCCCTGGCCTCCTTCATCTATGGCTAGGTGGCTGTGAGTATGTCACCAGACTACTTGGAGCAGAGACCTAGGGCGGTCCTGAGCAATAAGCTCATGAATGGTGTCCCCAGCTCAAGGAGGATGTCCTGGGCCCAACCCTGGCAACCATTCTGCTTTCCTAACTCTCTGAATGGGAGGAGCAGCCTCGGAAGGTCTCTGAAATGATATTGGGGTCATTCTCCCATTGTCTCCTTGAATAGGTCCTGGCTTCCTCTAGCCATATCACTCTCTTAGCAAATAATTGCTTAGCCACACCTTTGGCTTGTTCTCCTAAACAACTTTTTTTTTTTTTTCCTATATACATGGTCAGGCTTCAAATTTTCCACTCCTCTTCCATCCATCTCTTGTTTTTTTTTTATGGTACTGGGGGTTTGAACCCAAGGAGGGCCTTGTGCATATCAGGGACATGTTATAATACTGAGCTCCGTCTCCAGCCCCCTGCTTCTCTTAAAAAATCATAAATTCCATCAAGCTTTTTCTTCATTCTCACATCTTGGTGTATGCAGTTAAAAGTAGCCGAGCAGCAGCCTGAGTGCTTTGCTGCTTGGGTATTTCTTCTACTGGGTGTCCTGTTTCATCACTCTTAAGTTCTGCGTTCCATGAAGTCCTAGGATATGGATATAATTCCACCACTTCTCTGCAGCCATATAACGAGGAAGGTCTTTATTCTGTTTTCCAGTAAGATGTTCCTTTTATACACCAGAGACCTCATCAGAATGCCCTTTACTATCCACAAGCATTCTGGTCACTACCATTTC